TGAGTCGTCTATTATCAAAGGTGGCAATCTGTGCATTTGGACAAAAAAAAGTTATTGATATGTCAATACAGATTGATTTGAATATAATCGTCTCCTTCAAAGAATACGGTTCAAAACCTGCATTAAATAAAGGTTAATACTTAACCTGTTATTTATCTAAGATGTCGTTCAGAAGAGTTTTGTGACTGCCAACGGAATACAAAGTCAATAATTCGTTTTTCTGATTTACCAATAATTGTCCAAAAGTCACATTGCCGGCTTTGATAATAGTCGACTCATTTCTAGATAATTCCATTCTCTATAAATAAACTAAATAAACTCGATGGAGATGTTCAAAATGGAGTTCAAATTCGATGGAGGTTCTAACGTATTTAAGTCGTAATTATAATACAATGTAATGACAACTTTTAGATTCGCAAAATACAAAACAAGAACAGCAGACGTAGTGTGATTAATCTTGATAATTTGGCGAAATGCCCAATTAGAATTAATGTTATAAATTTTAGTAAATTAATTTAACTCTGGTAGCAGAGAGCACTAACCTCTGTATCATCTGACATCCTCTTGTATTTAAAAGTTTTGTTTAAATCATAAACAACATTATTATTTTTAGATAAATGTATTAAATTAGATAGTAATTTAATTATCGTAATATTGGATTGTCGAAAAAAGCGATTCCGCTAAATCATTTTACAAAATATTAAAACTGAAATCGACAATTGACTCGCGACGCGCTGATAAATAACTTACATTACGAAGATATCACGTTAAAAACTATATTTTATCGAATTCGTCACGTCACACAACAGATGATCGCAGATACGCCTGAGATAAATCATCATTTTACGAGTACTGTAACCTAGTTCATTGTTTGTATTTTTAACCTTTATATTTTTCAACTAGGCGGACGGACGCCTTTTTTTGATGCGATAACTTTTTTATTGAAAAAAATAATTTGAACATATTATTTTGTTGATAAATTCGCCAGATGTTAAATAACTTAACCGTAAACATTGCCTTTGTTCTTCGCTGAAGATAAAACTGAAGAAGTTTTTTTTTCACGAATTTTTTTCCAAATTTAAAGCATTAAATGGCTCTCCTGTAAATTTGCAAAAATGTCCCTTATACCAAATAGCTTTTCACCCGTCGATATACATACATCGATACATATTATTATGTATATATATTTGAGTTATTCTCGTACAAAATATTACGTATACGTGAAATTCTTTCATAACAAAAAGCTGCGTGAATATTATTTACGTCTGGGTCATGGCTATTGTCACGCGGCCTTGCCGAGCGCTTTGACGACAGTGTAATGTTTTTTCGACACGATTTAAAAAAAAAACCCGTACGTCGATTGTTTCCGAGCTCGTAAACAAATGATTTAAGAAAAAGCACATCTATTAATCATTAATCCTATAGTCGAGATGGTAGATCCCACCGTTCTGGTTGCCCCGAAGGCCATTACACCCGTGATGCGGTATAACTGAGAGATAATTGCGCAAATCGAACCCGCAAAAGTTGTAATTAGCGTAATTACTGGTAGTTAGGACGTCTTGCGAGTCGGCACTGGTGGGTACCACCACCCTACCTGTTTTTGCCGTGAAACAGTAATTCGTTTCGGTTTGAAGGGTGGGGCAGCTGTTGTAGATGTCTATGGGCTCCGGTAACCGCTCAACACCAGGTGGGCCGCCAGATACAGCCCGTTTTGTAAGATCTCCAATGTACCAATACAATTAATAATAGCGACTATCTCTAAACGTGGACATTGGTTTGCACGTGTTGATGTTGCACTGCTCCGACAACCACTCGTAAAAAAGGTATTGCCAATAAATAATAGTTTAAAAAACGCTTTTTTACAATAAAATCATTTTTTCTTATACTATTTTTAATTCAAATTTATTAAGATTTATTTTCTATTTTTTAGTTGGATTTTCTATAAGAGCGTATTTTGTTAGTTTTTTAAACTATTATTTATTTTTCTCTCTTTAGTTGATTTTCAATTTTTAATTATTATTTTCTTCATATTTAATAGTCATCGGTCCTTAATAAGTATACCAAATTCCGAGTTAATCCGACGTTTTGAAGGGGGTCAAAATCATGTTCAAAGATTCCGTTACGTACTAACATACATACGTCTGAAGCTAATAAAGACGTATTAGAAATTGTTTCGCTGTTCTGAATCGGGCTAATGACAATTTCGAAAAATTAGCTTTTATACCTAGACCAGACCTAGATTTTCCTCTAGTCGCTTGCAAAACATTTTCAAATCAAATCAAATTTACTTGCGTTTTGAACATGAATATTATTAAGAAAACTCATTCAAAATCTCACAAATAAAATATCTGATAATAATTTCAAACTACACGTTAAAATTTCTACACTTGACATTGACACCGGTATTATCACGAGACGACCATCGCGTCGTTGTTTAAAAAAAAAAAAAAGAAAAAAAATTAGCAAGTCAAATTGTATCCACGAAATAATAGAACGGCATTTAAACTTCTCATCACTTCATTGAAACATCTCTGTTGGAGTATGAGTCAGACACATTTTATTCCCGAAGATTCCGCAGTCACGAAAATAATTCACTTTAAAAATAATCCATAAACTTTATAGTCTTAATGACACGTTTGAATGATTAAAATAAAAACGGAACGCGCACGCCTACGGTAAGTCACCCAAGAATCGTTTTTTTTGCAGTTTTTTTTTAAGAAACATTTTTGTGAATTTGCTCGCGCATTCCTAATTCTTCTTCAAGGGCCATAGCATTAATGGATATATAGACAGTCAATTCTTTAAACTAAATTTTCACTCGATTGATACCAGTCAATTATTTGATACTTCAGAGCCATGACAACAAAAGCGTCTTCACACCATACGATTGTGAAATATTTTGATTGTTTCGGGTAATAAAGAAAACTGCATAGAGATGAATCTGGTAATAGAAAGAAAACAATTTTTGTTTTGTATTTTTTTTGTATCCACGCTACGTTTATTCGATTGATTTATTGATTCGATATATCGAAAATTTCTTTAATGGCTATTTGTATCCAAGAGTAACAATGTTTGTTTTAGATAATAACAGCGAAACAAAATCATATCTATAACACTAGCATTATGATCAGTATGTTACAAATTGCTAATCTGTGTAATTTTCCTTTTACAAAATAGTGAGGACTTTTTAGCGGGAACGCGAGGAGTGAAGTTGCGTGATTTGTTTTATTTTGTCTATTTAGTGTTTCTTCTGGTTTAAATGTGAAATAACGGTGGTTTATTAACTGTTTAATATGTGTGCAAGTGCACAAATGTGAGAAAATGCAACAAAGCCACTGGACGTCACTTCTCGGGATCCTCCCAAAAGTCCACTGAAAAATTTTCAGTAAATGACCACTATTTTACTCAGATTATAATTCATCTCATCATCTCATCTCATTTCATTTAATTTCATCCCAGTTGATTAATGTCTCAAATTAATCATCATCATTTCATTTCATTTTTTTCTTAAAAATAAGAATATAAATTAAAATAAGACATGACCTAAAGGTTTAGTTACCAGGTCAAAAAAACCCTTAAAAAAAAAAGTGAGGTATTCTGCGTTATCATCCGTGTTCAAGTATGACTATTTAAATCAAAATAAAAAAAATGCAACGAATTCAACGGTCTCACGTTGTGTGTTGCGTGATGAAAAAAAAAAATTGTTATATTTATTTTAATTTTGTGCATATATTGCTGGAAGAAGGTAAAATTTTAATATTAATTATAAATAAGTGACAAGCATACTCGTAATCGATTTCTCAAGTTTCAAGCATAGTAACAATAATTTACTGTTAAAGACACGAAAGTGAGTTATTATTATGTGTCGAACACACAATATTTACAACACTTTCCCTCCGACACATTTCAGCTGAACTGACTTACTAATGACCTACAATTTATATGAGCGTTTTGAACGTAAACATAGCCTTCCTCTGTTAAATAATTAGATATAATAACATTTTTAATCTTTCCCGAACCGGAATGTAATTACAGTAATCCCCCTTATAACACGATACTCTTATAACGCTTTTTCATATTACGCGATTTCTGTCCTCGTATAACACGGGCATTCCCCATATAACGCGAAGTTTTTACACTTATACTATTTCTGTACATTGTGCAATTTATCATGATATGTACAGTTCATAATTAATTTCGTGTATCTTTGCACATATTGTGTCAATTGAGTTGTTATAGAATAATTTTTTTTTAAATATTTCTTCCTAGTATTTTATTTGTGTATATTATATTTGTACATAACGCGTTATATGGATCATACAAGCGCGTTATGCTCGAATACTCCTACTACGCGTTTCCTATTACGCGCATTACTTGTATTACTCAACGAAATCCATAATACACGTGAACCTAGATTGAAAACCTTCTTGTTGCTGTCAGCGAACGAGTTTGACGCTATTGGGCGTATACGTTACAAGATAAGTTGCAAAAATGGTGATTACGCTCCAAAAACACCTTTTTTTTTTCTACCTATGCTGATGGCCTTGAGAGTCGTCGTGGCCTAAAGGATAAGACGTCCGGAGTATTCGTTGTTGCGATGCACCGGTGTCCGAATCCCGCAGGCGGGTATCAATTTTTCTTATGAAATACGTACTTAACAAATGTTCACGATTGACTTCCACGGTGAAGGAATAACATCGTGTAAAAAAAGTCAAACCCGCATCTAATTTGCGTAATCACTGGTGGTAGGACCTCTTGTGAGTCCGCACGGGTAGGTACCACCGCCCTGCCTATTTCTGCCGTGAAGCAGTAATGCGTTTCGGTTTGAAGGGTGGGGTAGCCGTTGTAACTATACTGAGACCTTAGAACTTATATCTCAAGGTGGGTGGCGCATTTACAAAAAAAAAAAAAAGCATAACCTTAACTAGTAGGTGAGCTCACGGGACTAAAACCTGATGACGTTGCTAACACGAACCCTAGCAAGAGCCGTGCTTCGTAGAATCTACCACCGGATCGGAAACGCGACCCAATGAGAAGATCCGGCGAGAAACTCAGTGGGCTGTGTTTGTGGGTTAATTTACTCGTCGAGCCCTTCGTCGCAAGCGACGGCTTCGACGAGGACGATGACCGGTGCTTGAAGTACCTAAAAGCACCGTTAGTGGATCGGGAGGATCCGAAATGACGTGTTTGGGGCGACGTCGACAGCTTTCCATTCTGTCCGCAGGATCGGGATTGTAGTTAACGGCGGCCACGATGAGAGGGTTATCGTGTCGTGCCGCTTTATCGAAGTGGCGCATCGATGCCGACTGTAGATACTTACTGATGGACTCTAATTCCAGGAAATAAGGTGCAAAACAGTAGTTTCGCTTCAGAAAAACCACAATAAACAAACAAACCTTCTTCTCCAACTGCTTCTTGACCGTAACGAGTTGTTCGAGGTCGTCCTCGTGCTGGCGTCTCAATTGCGCCCTGATCAGCTGCAGCTCTCGGTGGGCGCGTTCGTATCGCCGCTTGTACTTGTCGCCGGCGGAGGCCGCGTCCGCTTCGGAGCCCTCCGAATCTGAATGTTCCGCTGCTCCGCTATCGGCCGAGCGCCAATGCAAGAGTTCAAGTTCTAGACGCTCTGAAGCCTGGAGGGACATAAGCAATATGTATTTATAAGATTTCTTTTTAGAGTGTAAACAGAACGTGGATCTTAGAGGGAGGGAGGTCAATTTATCAGAATTAGAGGTCCCACAGTAGTCGAAATTCGACTATAATTAATTGGAATTGTAAATTTGTACACTATTATGATTGTATTTTATACTTCTATAATCACAAATTTCGCCAAGACTACACTATAAAAAAATATTAATAAAGACAAACAATATTTAATCTATTCTCATTTTGACAACAGACATCAAGAACAAAAGTTTGACAATAAATAGTATGTATGCGTGTGTGCGTCAAATACATGGTATGTAGTGTGTGTAATGTTTTCTTTATTGATTTAATGTATCTTTTATGCATTATCTAAAAAAAATATTAGCATTGTGCACTTCTTCTCTATATTCTCTATAAGTGTGGAAAATTTCATACTCCTCCGTCCGCACAATTTTCGTAAAAAGGGATACAAAGTTTTTGCTTCACGTATTAATATATAGATTTATTAATACACTTGCTTGCTTGATAGCCTTGAGGGGCTATTTCAGCGTAACCTTAACTAGTAGGTGCGCTCACAGGGCTCAAACCGGAGTGATTCTAACACTGACCCTAGTAAGAGCAGTGCTTCGCAGAATCTACCATCGGATCGGAAACGCGACCCACTGAGAAGATCCGGCGAGAATCTCAGTGGGCTAATGTTAGTGATAAGCTGTAAGGTTTTAAACGAACCTGCTGTAATCGCTGGTTATTGGCGACCAAGTCTCTGTTCTCCTTCTCCACTCGAAGTCGTTCTGCAGCCTCGGCGTCAGCTCGTTCCGTTGCGAGTCCGGCGGCCGCTCTTTCCTCTGCTAGCTCACCTCCCACTTCCGAGAGCTGTTGGAGAAAGAAGCGAGTAAATTAATTATATTTACTTTAAGTCATCCAACTAAGGAACGTGGATCTCCATGATGACCTGGAGCTTGATAGCCTTGAGAGGCTATTTCAGCTTCACCCTAATATGTAAGTGAGCTCACGGGGCTCGTGCCGTTAGCAAGTGTTGCTAACACTGACCCTAGCAAGAGCAAAGCTTTGCAGAATCTACCACCGAATCGGAAAGGCGTCCCACTGAGAAGATCCGGTGAGAAACTCAGTGGGCTGTGTATATGGGTTGATTCGCTCGTTGAGCCCTTCGTCGCAAGCGACGGGTTCGACGAGGACGGTTACTGGTGCTTGTGGTACCTAAAAGCACCGATAATGGATCGGGAGAATCCGTAATGACGTGTTTTGGGCGACGTCGACTATTTACCATTCGGTCTACAGGATCGGGTTTGTAATTCGAATATTATCAGTTACACACCCGAACCTTTTACGACTCGCGTTACAAAAATCATTCATGACGATTTATATACCAACAAGGCCAATGCACTAAATGGAGAGAATCCAATGACGTTTATAAATCTTGTAAAATTTGGCATGCAATGTTATATAAAATCGCAAGACGTACCGTATACACTTTGAAAGCATGATTTAGTTGCGATGCATATTTATTTGCGTACAAGAATTTTGAGAACAGCAATTATTTACGACTCGACTTAAAAAATAAGGCTACCCGGGAATAAGTAATGCGTCTGATGCGTCCTATTTTAAGATTAATACGTAAACAGACATTAATTTGTTTTTGTCGAGTGTGTTAGTAACGATTTTAAAATAGTTTTATGAAAACGCGAAATAATTGCTACTAATATACTCTTGCGTTCCTCTCAAAATTTATTTTAAGTGGCTGCGAATTTATACTTTATCTTTGAAACAACAGATTATCATCACACCAGAGTGTAGTGGGTTTTCTTTTGCCAATCTGTTTGAATAAAGGGAACAATTACAAAAGTAGGAGGCTAAAGGAGTTAATTCCATTAATGTATTTCAATGTAATTAGCAATCGTTCGTTTACTGATAATAAATAATTTTCTGAATAATCATTGTTGTTTTCGACTAAGCGTGGTCCGATTTTTTTTTTCAAAATCATTTTATAGGATGTTCTTTTTTCTGCAGTCGTCAATCTCTTGTTTTATTTAGATCAAATATTTAAAAAACCTTTTCTTAATATTAGTCTTTATGTATACTATAGAATAAGAAACATAATTTACAATATTCTATTTTGAAAACTGAAATCGTGAATGAACCTCTAACATCGAAAATCTATACTTAAATATAAATCTACAGTGGTTTTTACGGATGTTCCGTTATAACTACTGAACCATGCATCCGATTGACTTGAAACTTGGTATGCATGTAGAAAATACATGTACTTAATGGATAGGCTAATATTTATATGAGTGTTGCGGGGGCGTTAATGATGAGAATCTTTGTGCGGGTGAGAAATAATAATGTTAATTTTAAATGCCCTGCGAAGCGGACGGGTGGGTACAGATGGTAATTTATAAAAATTTTACTGATTTCTTTTAAATGAGGCGAATAAGCATCGTACAACACAAGCTATGTTGAAAATATTGTAACCGAGATTCAGGCATCTGTCAGATATCTAGATATATCATGTGTTGTGTGATGGCTCAACATTCATACTTCCACAAAATCATAAAAATATTTACTTAGTTTTTAATGTCGTGTTGTTTAATTGACTTGAGGTCGGTAAGTATCCGCTGGCACATTGCCAGTGCGCGACGCCAACACATACTGTACTGACACTGGGTTAGTGGAAACATTACAGTTTCTTTATAATTTAAAATATTTGAATATATTATGTATAAAAATTTAAATGACCTTGAATTAATTTCTGCAACGTCATCTTTTTTATTAACAAATTATTATTGACTTCGGATATAAATATTAAAATAAAGATTAAGAAGAGAAATAATAGTACTCTAATAGTTATTTTTTTTATAAAATTCCCAAAATTCTTAAAAGAAATTTTAATTTTAAGTTTTGTATTCTATCTGGCCTTCCTTCAAACCAAATCTTTATGGTATTAAAATCTATTCCATATGCATCAAACAAAAACGCATTATCGCGACATATATGGTTCGTATCACATATTTGGAGCTATGAATGACTCGGGGGTGCAGAAGTTGCACCCCTCTCTGCTCAGACGAGGGTAGCTTTTATGCGATAAACATATCTGTTTGCTTTTTGTTTGGGTGGTGGTTGGAGCTCTATATGCATTTAAATGTACTTCAGTATATGCGTCAGTTTCTGGTTGCCATAATATAGTGAACCGAATATATTCGTATCGAACTATATTCACGTTTTGATGTATATACTGGTGGTAGGACCTCTAGTGAGTCCGCACGGATAGATGCCAAACCACCCTGCCTATTTCTTTCGTGAAGCAGTAATGCGTTTCGGTTTAAAGCGTGGGGCAGCCATTGTAACTATACTTGAGACCTTAGAACTTATATCTCAAGGTGGGTGGCGACATTTACTTGGTAGACGTCTATGGGCTCCGGTAACCACTTAACACTAGGTAGGCTGTGAGCTCGTTCAATCTATACAATGAAATATGATATAGGATCTGTTTAAAACATACGTACACCTAAACTTTTTTCCGCTAATAAAAAAAACTAATTTCGTATGTTTAATACTTCGAAAACAGGAGGCGTTTCATTTTACTACTATCCTAGTTAAAGCTAATAATTTTCACACTATCGTGTACTAAACTAGCACGTCGTTGACTTTAATTGGTGGTTACAGTCCGTAGAAAGTTCGTAATCGCACGTTATAAGCATGATATTAATTCGCCGCCTGGCTATCTATGATTATCGCGGCATAACGATCGCGAATCATACTAAATACTGTAGCCGGCGTACAGTGTCGTGCCGTAATAAGCGATTTGGCTCACTTATGACAGTAACGTGCAGTGATCGACGCCATTATCTATCTTAGTAGTTGCAGAGCGCAACGCCACGAATGAAGTTTTAACTGGCCGATAATATTTCACACATAACGCGATAAATTTGGAATGGATTGACGTACTTTCGGGGAATGGTCCGCTGCACAATGACGGTCGAATGAATACGCAACGTCAAAACGTTTGCCAAAACGCAGACTTCTGAGCAAAAATAATACTAAGAAGACAATAAAACAAAAAGAAAAAACTCCCGAGCTTCCTGTTACGATGTGAATGACAATGTCGGAACACCGCGTTGATGGAAGACTAATGTTTTGCGAGAGAAACTGTAAGATGTCAACAAAAGTAACCAAAAAAAATATTGGCAAGCAATGCATCCACGGTATTGCCCAATTGACATAGACGCCACAGACGTCACTGCCAAACGATGAAGCTGCCTAAAGCACTCGAGTTTTATTTATTGTTGCGCAGTTATACGGCTCCCATCAAATGCTTTTTAATCTAAGTATGTATTTGGGCAATGAAAATTTATCAAAGATCTTATGGCAAACCTCTTCCATTTCAGAGACGGTCGTTCTGTCTTCGGATATACCGCGGGAACGGGAGACGCTGCTCGCTCGACTGCCACTCCTACTGAACAATGTGAACCCCTTGATCATGATGTTGGTTGCTGATTTCGATCTTGCTAGTCTCTTTTTTACTTCGGGTTCTTCGCGATGTCCGAGTCTTTTCCATTCGTCCATAACATGGTCGGTTCTCTTCAAGAAGCTATCGATTTTGTTGCTCAGATAATTAGAGGTTGTCCCTTCTTCCATATGAGCTGCGATCGGTCTAAATTTCTGTCGGACAGGTTGTTTGTTGCAGCCCAGGATAAAAGTTAGGTTTGCATCAAAAACGACTGGAGCTTGTTCTTTCGATTTCATTTCACCGAAATCTGCATTACCCATATCGTAAGATTGAGGGTACATTCGTCTAGGTGTGATACTTCTATTATAAACAGTAGAGTTCATACTTGTCGAACGGGATAGGGGCACAAAAGTTCCATTGCTGCTACATGTAGAGTACTGGCTGGCAGAGCTTCGCATACTGCTGTATGACGAAGGGCTGGGTGATCTTGACGTAAAGATGCTGCTTTGTGATCCGTGTCGTTTAGCTAATTCAGCAATAGAGCCTGTTTCTACTGGAAGTGAAGAGTTGGTCCGCCTGTACGCTGGGCTCGGTGACCGGTTAACTAGGTGCCGTCCATTTTCTGTATTATTCTGCTGGATGGTGTGTACTTCCTTCAAGGGTTTTGTGACAAAAAGTTTCTTCCCATTGAGAAGGGTCGTAACTGGTCTGGCAGGTATTTTCTCCTCGAAATTTATCGGTAAAGTTTTGGATTTTTTCACTGGGAGTATGGGGCGACTGGGTGGTGCCATGGGGGGCTTTCTCGGCGTCGCGTCCAAGATGGGTGGAGACAGGGGCCCGTTGGAGGATCCGTTAACTGGTGGTGAGAACGTTCCATTGTGACTTGCTTGCTTCTGTTCTGGTATTTTCAGTTTCAACGGGTTCGAGCCGGTCCCGTTAATTGCGTTGGGAACGACGCCGGCCTGCGCGTGCGGCATAGCGGTTAAATTCGCTTGCGTTTCCTATACCGGAAGTGTGCGCAGTGGTGAAAGTCCAGTGCCATTTCACCGCTAGTATTATTGTGGCTCGCGACGCGGGACGCGTCGGGACATTAGTTGGAAATAGAACCGGCGCGAGAGGGCTTCGCGAACACACTGCGCCGGCTATCTCGGTCGCCGGGCTGCCATCGGCGCTCGACTATTTTCGTTTACTTAGATGTCGAACTTCTCGCGTATGATGCTACGGACCTTCAAAATTTGTCGGAGTCCAGCCAACGACAACATCACGGCGGTGCACTGTGCTTTTTCTTTTCTATTTTTTTTCTTTTTTTTTATTGCCTTTGTAGGCAGACGAGCGTACGGCCCACCTGTTGGTAAGTGGTTACCGTCGCCCATGGACTTCAGCAATGCCAGAAGCAGAGCCATCC